CAATGAAAAAAGGGAAGATTTTAATAAAACATGAACCTGTCAATATTCCTGATTATCCTGAGCAATAAAGAGAGCCTTTGGCTATATTACTAATGTACACAATCAATTGGAAGATAATAAAATTGAATAAACAGTAGTTGAATTAAAGTTTACATTAACATTGTTTTTTACCTATAATATTGATTTAACTTATTAAAAACTGTACATTGTAGGAGAATCAACATAGATTTAAAGAAAGTTTAGTTTTGGGGTCCCTGGGTGGCTCAGTGGGTTAAAGCCTCTGCCTTCGGCTCAGGTCATGATCCTGGGGTCCTAAGCTCGAGCCCCACATCAGACTCTCTGCTGGGCAGGGATCCTGCTTCCTCCTCTCTCTGTGCCTACCTCCCTGCCTACTTGTGATTTCTGTCTGTCAAATAAATAAATAAAAAAAAAAAAAAAGAAAGAAACCTTGTAAGAATACTTAAAAAAAAAGAAAAAAGAAAGTTTAGTTTTGGTGTTTTAGTAACTTACAAATTTTCTTAATATTTATCCTAGGGGCACCTGGGTGGCTCAGTCAGTTAAGCATCTGACTTCAGCTCAGGTCATGATCCCAGGGTCTTGGGATCAAGCCCCATATCAGGTCAGGCTCCCTGCTCAGTGGGGATCTGCCTCTGCCACTCCTCTTCCCCCTGCTCATGCTCTCTCTCTCTCTCAAATGAATAAATAAAATCTTAAAAAAAGTTATCCTAGCAGTGTGATTAAAATTTTAGAATAAACCCTCCAAATTAAAGTGTTGGTGTTGTCATTCTTTCATGATCGTAATACCTGTTTTTTTTGTTGAGATATTAGGTAACCAAAACTATAATTCCTGGGGATATCCACACCCTAAGCATTGGAATTTTTTTTTTAAAGATTTTATTTATTTATTTGACAGACAGAGATCACAAGTAGATGGAGAGGCAGGCAGAGAGAGAGAGAGGGAAGCAGGCTCCCCGCTGAGCAGAGAGCCCGACGGGGGACTCGATCCCAGGACCCCGAGATCATGACCTGAGCCGAAGGCAGCAGCTTAACCCACTGAGCCACCCAGGCGCCCTAATCATTGGAATTTTTGAGTGTGTTACATAACTTGGTGAAGGAAAATTAAAGTCACAATTGGAATTAAAGTTGTTAATCAGCTGACCTTAAAATATAGAGCTTTTCTGGATTATTTGACTGTGTCTAGTAATCACAAAGATTTTTAAATGTGGAGCAAGAGTGAAAATAGGAGGTTAGAGTGATTCTATGTAAAAAGGACTTGACTCACTCTGCTTTTGAAGGTGGAGAAAAAGGGTCACTAAAGGTCAGCTAAAGAATTAGGTGGCCTCTAAAAACTGGGAAAAGGTAGGAGACTGATTCTCCTCAGAGCCTTGACAACTTAACCCTTCAAAGTCAGCATGAGAATCTTTCCAGTGGGCTTTATAAATGTCTTACATAATGTAACCAAATCATGGAAGTGATTATCCCCTCATACTCATAAGTCCTACCTACACTCAGGAAGAACATATACAGGGTAAATACAACATGGGACAGGAATCTTGGGGGCCATTTTGGAATTTTGTCTACCACACGTTAGGTGTCTCTCTTTCTCCCCACAGACACACAAGCACAAACACACTCAGACACATACACTTGTTTTATATTATCAACATATGTCATCTTGGACATCTCATCTTCTTATATTTGTTTTTTTAATTTTTTTTTTACTAGTTCAGTCATAATATTTATATTTTAACTACTGGATCCCATCTGATTCATGAAAACACTATGAAGAATTTAAAGAGAATTTCTCTGTGCATCCTTTCTCTTATGACAGTCAATTATATACTCCCCATCACCAAAATGACACCACTGGTGACACTAGCAATTCAGAGCATAGTTTTTAATATTTATATTAAAAATCTCTTTATGAGAGTTAAGTAAAAATTAATGTGTAGATCCACATTTCTGGTGACAGAAAAAACTATGACTGAAAAATTTTCACACTGATCTAGCACTTTATATTTTCAATGAGTCAAGTAATTAATTACATTCTAATACTCTTATGAAGGAGATTGGGCATTTTTATAGTCTTAAAGCAAGTCTTTATCATTGTCCAGGAATGCATGCCTCCCAAACTGAAGATTTCTTACAGGAAAAATTGCCAAAATTTTTTCCCTAAAGGATAACAGATAATATTATAAAATACATTTTTATAGTACATTTCTAAAAATACTTGATAATTTTATGAGTAAAGAGAAGTTACAGAATATATAAAATATTGTGTCTAAATGTTCATGTGCTCATAATTTTAAGTGTATTTAGAGAACGTAAATGAACCCTATGCAGCATTAGTTCTGTGCATATATGATAGTCTCCCCTCCCCAGTGCCTAACCCTAATTTCTGATCCAACTATATTAACTACAGATGAAAAAAAAACCTGTTTAATACACTGTTTTTTTGGTTAGTGTAACTTAAAATTTAAAATAATATATAAGAGCAAAAAATTGTTTAATGTATTACATTGAGATATTAAGGAATAAACCATAGTTTGAATACACATTAGTATTATTGTAGAAAGACTGCAGTAGGTCTTCAGAGAAAACCATTTCCTCTCTTTCTCTCTCTCTTTTTTTTTTCTTTCTCTCTCTTTTTAAAGATTTTATTTACTTATTTATTTGAGAGAGATATTGAGAGAGTGAGAGGGTGAGAAGGGGAGGGGCAGATAGAGAGGAAGAGAGAGAATATCAAGCAGATTCTGTGCCAAGTGCAGAGCCCAATGCAGGGCTCAAACTTACGACTGGGAGATCATGACCTAAGGCAAAAACAAGATTCTGATGCTTAATCAATTGAGCCACCCAGAAGCCCCACCATCCCATCTTTTTTAAGAGAAACTTAAGTAGTAGCTAAACAGAGAAATTTCATTATGATCTGGGGAACAGGCAACCTTGCACTACAAATCTTATTTGGTTACAGGATAAGAAACATCTGTTGATTTAAAAAAAATCTTTTTATTAAAAGAAAAGCCATTAGTAATCTCATTGTTATATCCCCAAATACTACTTCTAATAGAGATAGGTATCCTTCTTGTCTTTCTTCTTTCTTTCCAATGTAACTGCCATGTGGATAAAGTATGTCTTGTGGGATATAATCATAAAGTATATTTATTCTCATAAGGAATCAGACACTCTTCTATTTGACTAATACTGTTCAGAACTGAAATGTGCTCATTGGGTATGGAAATGTTTAAAAGTATTCCTTCATCAGATACTTTCTTGGGTTCTTTGGAGACTGTTTTGCAAGCCCCTTTTGCCCAAAGGGAGTCTTCACATGCAAGTGAATGACCTCTCCTTGTTTTCTTTTTCTCCCTGGTTTTTAGTGTTCTACTGCTGCATAAGATCTCCCTCACTGCTGGTATTCCATTGCTCCTCTGGTGGGCAATCCCAGGTAACATCATTGCAAGCCCACCAGGCTATCTATCAAATGATACCCACATCTGGTTCCCCAGGTATATTTTGTTAAGAGGACCTTGGGAAAGAAGCAGATCCCAGTGCAAAAGCACCTCTTTTTCCCTTAGGAGATGAAACTGTCAGGGAATTACTCATCCTTAAATTTCTCAAGCTCATTCAGACATTTGTCCACTATGTACACCAACTGCAGGCAACAAATACTAAGCTCCATGACTTGTTTTCTCACTGTCCTCTCTCTTTAGTTCAGGTGAAGGGAGAATTTCACCATTCTCCCTCCTTGGGGTGTTGAGTGAATGGATGCCATGCATAGCAGCACACGAAACACTCTAGCCAACACTTTCAATCTTCTACTTCCCTTCTTGTTGTGAATGAGAGGGTTGAAAACAAGTGGTTTTCCATAGCTTCCTTTTATAAGTTCCACATGATGGTCTCACATTTCATTTTAGAATGTAAGTATCTCTTTTCTTGATTGTTGGCAGAAAATAAATTAAGATATTTTTATTTTAATATTGTATCACACTAACTTTAAAAGGTGAACACACTTATGTATATTAATTAAATGCATAGTTTTCTTTTTTTTTTTTTAAAGATTTTATTTATTTATTTGAGAGAGAGAGAAAGAAAGAGTGTTCACACGAGTGGGGGGAGGGGCAGAAGAAGAAGCAGAGTTTCCGCTGAGCGGGGAGCCTGATGTGGGGCTTGATCTCAGGACCCTGAGATCATGACCTGAGCTGAAGGAAGACACTAAACTAACTGAGCCACCCAGGTGCCCCTAAATGTATTGTTTTCTTAACAGTCTTGTGATTCAATTGCAGATCATACTTTATTCTCTTAAGTTCTAAGCACTTTTCATCTTAGTACATGTTATTTGAAAACTTGATTTTAATGGCTGTCTAATATTTAACAGCACAGATGTACAATCAATTATTCAATAATTTTCCATTGTTGGACATTCATGTAAAATCTGATTTTTAGTATTATATATTACAGCGTAATGACAGGCTTTTATCAAATTTCCCTTCTAAAAGGGTATAACAATTTCAATTCTTACCAGTACTGTTTAAGCAAGTTCACTTTTGACAACCTTGACCACATTTTTTCAATTTAATATGTAAAAATGGTATTTCATTGATTTTTCCATTTGCATTTATTTAAGTGAAGTTGAAATGCTTTTGCATGATTATTGTTTTTTTCCCCCTATTTGATATGCTCTGTCTCTTAGTAGGTTGGTTCATTTTTCTGTCACTTTTATATTTATGTTCACTTTCAATATGTCATTCTGCAATTTGTTTGTAATCCTTTTCCTTTATTTTCTATTTGTCTATTTATCTTTTACTTCTTTTGGTTTGAGAAAGCTCTCTGTATTTCCCCTCCTTTTCTCCTTGACAGTTTTAAGCTATAGACTGCAGTGGTGTTTTCAGAGGTTATCCCAATATAAAATCTTGACCAAAAAGTTTTTTAAAACAAGGCCTGTATTTAGTCAGTAACTCTTTCTCCTGTGTAAGACACCTAACTTAAGATGATTTACATGCCTAGTGCTCACTTCAGCAGCACATATACTAAACTTGGAACAATACAGAGAAAATTATTAGCAAGGTCCCTGTGCAAGGATGACACATAAATTTGTGAAGTGTTCCATATTTTTTCAATGGCACTAAAGTCGAATCTTTCGATAGTTGCTCCAAATATAAATGAGCTAAATGCTCTAATCAAAAGGCACCAGGTATTAGATTGGATAAAAAGCAAGACTCATTGCTGTGCTGTCTGCAAGAATCTCATTTTATATCCAAAGTCACCTCCAGATAGAAAATGTCCATTTACCGTGATAATGGGCATCAAAAGAAAGTTGGGGTATCATTCTTTATATCAGACAAATCAGAATTTAAACCAAAGACTGTAATAAAAGATCAAGGTTAATTAATTAAAGGGTCTATCCAATAAGAAGTTCTAACAATTGTAAATAATTGTGCCCCTAACAAGGGACTAGCCAATTATATAAGCCAATTAAGAAGAAAATTAAAGAAACACATTGATAATAATACAATACTAGTAGGGGACTTTAACACACGCCCCTCACAGCAATGGACAAATCATCTAAGTAGATGATCAATAAAAACACAAGGGCTTTGAATGACACACTGGACCACATGGACTTTACAGATATATTCAGAGTATTTCATCCTAAAGCAACAGGATACACATTCTTCTCTAGTGCACATGGAACATTCTCCAGAATAGATCACATACTGGGTCACAAATCCGGTCTCAACTGGTATCAAAAGACTGAGATCATTCCTTGCATATTTTCAGACCACAATGTTTTGAAACTTGAACTGAAACACAAGAGTAAATTTGGTAGGAACTCAAAAACATGGAGGTTAGTGGGTCGACCAAGAAATTAAAGAAGAATTTTTAAAAAATCATGGAAACAAATGAAAAAGAAGTGTAACTGTTCAAAATCTTTGGGATGCAGCAATGATAGACCCAAGAGGGAAGTATATAGAGATACAAGCATTCCTCAAGAAACAAGAAAGATCTCAAATGCACAACTTAACCTTACACCTAAAGTAGCTAAAGAAAGAACAGCAAATAAAGCCTAATCCCAGCAGGAGAAGAGAAATGATGATTAGATCAGAAATCATTGAAATAGAAACCAAAAGAACAGTAGAACAGATCAATGAAACTAGGACCTAGTTCTTTGAATGAATTAATAAGATTGATTACCCCCTTGGCAGATTTATCAAAAAGGAAAGGGAAAGGACCCCAATAAATAAAATCGTGAATGAAAGAGGAGAGCTCACAACCAACACTAATGAAATATAAACATTTGTAAGAACTTATTTTGAGCAACTATATGCCAACAAATAGGTAACCTGGAAGAAATGGATGCAATCCTAGAAATGTATAAACTACCAAAGCTGAAACAGAAAGAAATAGAAAACCTGAACAGACACATAACCAGCAAGGAAACTGAAGCAGTAATAAAAAATCTCCCAATAAACAAGAGTCCAGGACTGGGTGGCTTCCCAGGGGAATTCTACCAAACATTTAAAGAAGAATTACCTATTCTCTGAAGTTGTTTCAAGAAATAGAAATGGAAGAAAAACTTCCAATCTCTTTCTATGAGGCCAGCATTTACTTGGTCACAAAACTAGACAAACACCCCACCCAAATGTAGAATTATAGACCAATACCCCTGATGAACATGAAGGCAAAAATTCTCACCAAGATACCAGCCAATAGTACATTAAAATGATTTTTCACCCTGACAAAGTGGGATTTATTCCTGGGCTGCAAAGGTGGTTCAACATCTACAAATCAATCAATGTGATACTCTACATTAATAAAAGAAAGGACAAGAACCATGTAATACTCTTGTTAGATGCAGAAAAAGCATTTAACAAAGTACAACATCCTTTCTTGATTAAAACTCTTCACAGTGTAGGGATAGAGGGAACAAACCTCAATATCATAAAAGCCAACAGCATATATCATTCTCAATGGGGAAAAGCTGAGAACTTTTCTCCTAAGGTCAGGAATATAGCTGGGATGTCCACTCTCACTATCTTGTTCAACATAGTGCTAGAAGTCCTAGCCTCAGCAATCAGCAATCATACAACAAAAAGAATAAAAGGCATCTGTAATGGCAAAGAAGATTCACTCTTTGCAGATGACATGATACTTTATATGGAAAACCCAGAAGACTCCACCCCCAAACAACTAGAACTCACACATGAATTCAGCAGGATATAGTGGCAGGTTGTAAAGCCAGCACACAGAAATCAGTTACATTGCTATACACTAGCAATGAAATAAAAGAAAGAGAAATTAAGGAGTTGACCTCATTTACATTTGCACCCAAAACCATAAGATACCTAGGAATAAAGCTAACTAAAGAGGCAAAGGATCTGTACTCAGAAAATTATAAAACACTTATAAAAGAAATTCCACAAATAAATGGAAAAACATTTCACAAAGAAATGGAAAAACTTTCTATGCTCATGGATTTCTCATATATTGTTAGAATGTCTCTGCTTCCCAAAATGATCTATACTTTCGATACAATCCTTACCAAAATACCATCAGCATTTTTCACACAGCTGGAACACACCATCCAAAAACTTGTATGGAACCAGAAAAGACCCCAAATAGCCAAAGGAATGTGGAAAAAGAAAACCAAAGCTGGTGATGTCACACATTCTGGACTTCAAGCTATAATAAAAAGCTGTAATCATCAAGATAGTATGGTACTGGCACAAAAGTAGACACATAGGTCATTGGAACACAACAGAGAATCCAGAAATGGACCTTCAACTCTATGGTCAACTAATCTTTGATGAAGAAGGAAAAAAATATTTTTTATATTGATTGCATATTTAAATTGTAATATTTTGAATGTTTTGAGTTAAAATATACTATTATAATTAATTTCAACTGTTTCTTTTTAATGTTTTTACTGTAGTTACTAGAGGATTAAAAATTATACATGTAAACACACAGATCTTCAGCAAAGTGGGAAAGAATATCCAATGGAAAAAAGACAGTCTCTTCAACAAATGGTGTTAGGAAAATTGGATAGCTACATGTAGAAGAATGAAACTGAACGATTTCTTTATACCATACAGAAAAATAAATTCAAAATGGATGAAAGAACAAAATGTGAGACAGGAATCCATCAAAATCCTGGAAGAGAACACAGGCAGTTACTTCTTCGACCTTAGCCACAGCATCTTCTTGCTAAACATTTCTCCTAAGGCAAGAGAAACAAAGGCAAAAATGAACTATTGGGACTTCATCAAGATAAAAAGCTTTTGCACAGCAAAGGAAACAGTCAACAAAACCAAAAGATAACAGACAGAATGGGAAAAAAATACTTTCAAATGTCTTATTAGATAAAGGGATAGTATCCAAAATCTATAAATAAGTTATCAAACTCAACACCCAAAGAACAAATAATCCAATCAAAAAAGGGGCAGAAGACATGAACAGACATTTCTCCAAAGAAGATATATGAATTGCAAAAAGACACATGCTCTATATCACTTGGCATCAGGGAAAAACAAACGAAAACCACAATGATATACCACCTCACCAGTCAGAATGGCTAAAACTAACAAGTCAGGAAAAAAAAAAATAGATGTTTGCAAGGATGTGGAGAAAGGGGAGCCCTCTTACACAGTTGGTGTGAATGCAATCTGGTGCAGCCACTCTGGAAAACAGTATAGACATTCCTCAAAAAGTTGAAAATAGAGCTACCCTACAACCTAGCAATTGCACTAATAGGTATTATCCCAAAGATACAAATAACTGATCTGGAGGAGCACCCACACCCCAAAGTTTATAGCAGCAATGTCCACAATAGCCAAAGTATGGAAAGAGCCCAGATGCCCACCGACAGATGATAAGGAAGATGTTGTATATATACACAATGAAATACTACTCAGCCATCAAAAAAATGAAATCTTGCCTTTCACAATGATGTGGATGGAACTAGAGGGTACTATGCTATATGAAATAAGTCAATCAGAGAAATACAATTATCATATGATCCCACTAGTATGTGGAATTTAAGAAATAAAACAAAGAATCATGGGGAAAGGGAGGGAAAAAAAAAAGATGAAATCAGAGAGGGAGACAAACCATGAGAGACTCTTAATCATAGGAAACAAACTGAGGGATACTGGAGGGGAGAGGTATGGGAGGATGGGGAGCTGGGTGATGGACATTAAGGAGGGCATATGATTTTAATCAGCACTGGGTATTACATAAGACTGATGAATCACTGAACTCTACCTCTGAAACTAATAATACACTGTATGTTAATTAATTGAATTTAAATAAAAAAGATAATTTACATGCCTAGTGAATAGTCCTTTATAACATTCTCCTGAACTACACTCTTCTAAGATTTTGTACCAAAAGTTATTTAAATATATCAATATGTTTGAACAAAGGATTGTGGTTTATTGGTTTCTGCTAGTTTAAAATTTGTGTCACTGAAGGGCATTTTCTAGTAGTTATTCATGAAAGAATGTGACTGTCAAGCCCTTTAGATTAGCAATGTCCAATAAAAAATACAACACAAATCTCCAATGGAACTCACACATGTAATTCGAAATTTTGTAGTATCCACACTAAAAAAAAAAAAAGGAAAGAAATTAATTTCAAATTTAATAACTTATTTTAGTTAATCCTATATGTCCAAAATACTATCATTTCAACATATAACTAACAAAAACATTAATTGAATATTTTATAGTTTTTGTACTAGACCTTTGAAATTTAAGGTATATTTTATATATGTAGCACATCTCCACTCAGATGTGAGTAGCTTCAAGTGCTTGATAGACACATATGACCAGTGTGTGTACTAGACAGAGCAGTTCTAAGTCTTTAAAATACTTTAATTTTAAATACTCAAAATGAGAATAGTCTCTTACATATACCCCTATTTTTATATTCTATTAAACAAAGAACATTCTATAACCCTGTTGCCCTCCCTGATACTATGTTTCCCTTTGTCATTTCCTTTCTGACCAAAGAACTTCCAAGAGCTATATGGTTAGTCTGGTCTGTTGGCAATAAATTCTCTTATATATCTTCATCTGAAAAATGTATTTCCCATTCATTCCTGAAGTATGTAGA